GAAAGTCATAGAATGATTATATTCAAAATGTTCTGATGTTTATATTCAAAATTTAATTTATGCGATAATATTTTTACCATTTGAAATTGTCTGTCTTGATTCTTACTCATTACTTTCCGTTCAACCTGATATTATACACAACGTCAAAAGCTGTTGCATGGTGTGTATGTTTGCACCCGTTGATCGTAAGCATATAATTTCAGTTATAAAAAGGTTATAGACCAGAAAAATATTCATGTTTTGGAATTTTTATTATTAAAAAACTAGTTTTAAAACATTATGAAATCTTTTTACACAGACGATCACTAAAACACTTTGAACATTTTTAAAAAATTTCTGCACTCAATTAAAAAAAAGGAACCCAAAAGGTTTGAACAACATGTAACAGAAATTGACCAAGGTATTTAATTTTAAACTCTTAGTTCTAGTTTCTTGAAATTTCAAAGATTGTATACAAATTTAAAAGCGAAATATTTAAATTTGAGCGCAACTAAAAATGAAACGTTAGTTTAAGTTGTTAATTCAGAAGGTAATAAACTAAGTAATGAACATCGTAAAATGCAGACCACGGTAAAAAATTTTGATCAATGGAAGTTTTTCAAAAAGACATTATCCACAAAATCGTATAAAATTTGTATCCTAGAAGACAATGGTAGGCTTCAAGTGTAGCCAACTCAAAGTACTATATGTATAAATAAAACTGAGAAATATTTCTATCCAATGAATTTTTATGTGATTATTATATTATGATCCTAAAGTAGTAAAACTGCATAGGAGTGTTACTGACGTTTTTAATATTAAGAAACTTATAAATTACTTGTAGGAAAATACTTTCTGCATACCAAATGGAAACGAAAATTATATCAAAGAAATTTTAACGTTAATAAATCACAAAAAAATTTCACGGAATGATATTAAATAGAGAAAAACCAACCTCGAATTATCCTAATTGATTTTTTAACTGACCCCTTAAAAATAGCGGTAAAGATTGTTTTTTATCATTCATAAATGCCAAAAAAGATCCCAGATTTTGAAATTAAAAAACATAGTTACTTTTTCTTGTATGGAGTCAAACGTTCTGTGTTTCATTTTTAAAATGACTATGAACTTGCACTTAAAATAGCTACAAGAACCTAGGACGTGTAAAAGAGTTAGATTTTGTTATATTTACAAAACTAATTTTCCAAACCAAAAAATGTCATAACTTGAGCGTTTGCATCTTTTAAGATTTTTTGTTATTTCAAATATATGTTTATGACTAAAGGTTGAAGAACTTTTATGGACGCAATATATATACATTCCCGCTGTAGTTAGTTAGATCAACTTGAAACTCTGAAGACCATAAAGACGTGAAGAAATCTGAAGAGGCTGAAAGACTGGGTGTGGCTTGGAGGGAAATGACGGTGACCTGTTCCGTAAGGCAATTTTGAAAGTGTGGCTGTTACTGCAGCCGAGAACTTTTCCTATGCTCAACATTCAATAACAAAGGCACGTAAATTGTGCTTTTCCTGATCCACGGTGTAAATAATAATAATAACTAAATAAAACCAAATTAAAAAGTAAAGGTTGCAGCTCACTTTGCCATGTTATCCTTATAAAATCCTTATGAATGTGATGCAAGAGTTGAAGTCGGAAGATGCGCAAAAGCGGGTAAATTTGGCTTCCCAATTTATCGCAATGCTGAATAGTTGAAGAAATATGTTCTTGGAATATCTTATGAATATCGAAACAGTCTTTTTACTGGAAGAAGAAGTAAACGACTAAAATTTCTGCACATGTGGTGTATGAAAAGTCACTGCATTATGTCTCTGAGGTGCAGATTTACCGCTTTATTCTCGGGCAGTATATCTATGAGGAGATGACGTTTAAAAATTCTATAATTTGTTCCACTATTTGTGCACATTACTGTAAACTGTTTTCCCAGCATATAATATCTGATTTGAACGAATGAGGATGTTTAGGACATTATTTTATAAGCAGCATGGAGTTGCTTCCACCTTCAATAAATATAGAAATTGCTTAGTTTTAACTTGCGATGTTCTTTAGATTTCAAGTTTTCTAGACTCTTGGCCTCCTCGCTCTCCAGACTGTAAATCCTGTAATTCCTGACGGTAGAGATTACTAAATAATCGTTTTTATCAAGGAAGCACTCGGAATCTTTCAGAACTGAAACCCAGGAAAATGCATCATGTTACGGTATTCTTTGAATTCTTGTATATTCTTGTGTATTCTTGTATATTCGTGAAATAACTTGAAATATCAAGTGGCGACTGTTTACGCAGTCCTACGCTTCTAACATCCTACTCATGCGGAGAGTGCGCATATTTTATGCATATGCTATAACCGAATACCCTTTTATTTTATCTCAAGATTTCATATATTTTACTGAAATATATTAATTTCTTGTTTGAATAATTTGTAGAAAAGCATAGTCTAATGGCAACAGTTTGAAGCAATTTTATTCTGTATTTTATTTTCTCATGAGCTAAATATGCAATATTTCTAGTTTCATCAATGTATGTTCATTAAAAGAAGCTTTCAATGTATCTAGATAGAAAAACTATAAAAGTAACCCCCTCGTATGAGAAAGTGTACCATACTCCATTTAGAAGAAAGCAAGAATCCTCGAGTAGAGAGAGAGCCCATTTCCATAACGATGTAGGCAGTCTGTCTTTTATCGGTACAACTAATACTCTAACGGTATTTTGTTAATGAAAAATAACTTTACGCATAATGTAAAAATTTATGCAATGCAAAAATTTCATAAAAAAAGGAATTACTTATTTATGTTGTTTTGACTTCTTATGCCTTCTAATTGTTCAACAGACTCAGTGTTTTCCTTCATGTATAACTTAAGTATGAGAAAATATCTGATAAAAATTTTTGAACCTCTTTTCCACGCATTACTTAAAGCTTATATATTTGTCATAAGAGTTTTTGGCATTGAACATTATTGAATAAATGGTTGTTTACTTCAATAGAATTCTCATCTGGAACACTTTTATGTGGAATTTAATGTAAAAACCGCATCTCAATAGTATTCATGAAAATTTTGTGCTTTTGTCTTCTCTTAAACTAAATAAGCTTTCTCTAAAAAAAAGGATCACTTTTTGATGCAACTTCTTTGTCTCCTTATTTCATAAAATTGCTTGGAAAACTGTAAAAAATAACTTTTAATAAATACTTTTAAGATTCTTATTTCAGTATTTAAATTATTTATATTTCGGAACAAAATCACTTGAAAGAAATTAGGATTAATAAAAAATACAGCTCTCGGCCATCGGGTTCCGAACTGAAGATTCTTCGTCTTCATCAATCGTACATTAATCATTACGCCACTGTATATTCCGGAAGGCATTAGAATATAAACAATAAGCTACTGGCTCCACGCCAAAACCACAAATCTGCATATTGTGCTTTTTTTCACATAAATGCCACAAATCTGCATATTGTGCTTTTTTTCACATAAATGCATTTTCTAAGCTAATGTTCTGTGTTTATCCGGCGACAAAAAAGGAATAAATGTTCCCCGAGAAGAAAATTATGTAGTTTGTAAAATAATTATACAAAAACCGTTAATTAGATTCGCCTTTTGCCAAATTGTTAAACACTTTATATAATATTTTGCAGATTTGGGATTTTGCCAGAGAGACAATAACATACGTTAGCTAGAACTTTATCTTTTATCCTCTTCCTCAGTTTTTAAAGGTTCTTATTACGCTTTCACACATATGTTCCCTAAGGTGCACTATGATTGTTTGAAATCTGGTAAAAACCAGTGAGTCTAAGAACCTATCAACAAATTAATGACAATTTAGTGTTCATTAAAAAGTCTGGAAAGCATTTTGCACAGATCTGTAATTTTATTAATATCATTGCTAACTCCAGTAAAAGCATTTCTAATTTAGAATAAAGAATAAATTATGCTTTACAGATCTCTATTGAGAGTTCAACACAGAAATTTCTTAAATTAAGCCTTCAGTTTTACACAATTTAGCCAATCACTTCTAATTGAGGGAAAACGAGATAGATCGCTAGTAAGTTTCAATTTTTAAGGATTAAACTACCAATGTTGAAATGGGCCATCTTCTAATTATTCTAAGTTTCAGAATTGTACGTCGATGTATTTAATTTAACGTTGAGAACAGAATTTTTATCCGATCTTATGATGCTTTTTCCGCGTAATAGGCAACAGTTTGACTTAAAACTGACACCCATGCTGTGGGAATTTCTGGTACTTTGGCAATATCACTAATAATTTAGAATTCTGATTTACTAACACTTTAACTAATAATGCGTTTGGTATGGTTGTGAAATGAGTTAAACAGTCCTTTTTGTCCTTATGATTAAGTATATCTGCCATAACAGTTTTTGGCATTGGACATTATTGAATAAATGGTTGTTTACTTCAATAGAATCCTCATCTGGAACACTTTTATGTATAATTTAATGTAAAAACCGTATCTCAATAGTATTCATGAAAATTTTGTGCTTTTGTCTTCTCTTAAACTAAATAAACTTTCACTCAAAAAAAAAAAAGAAAAGAAAAGAAAAAAAAAAAAAAAGAAACATTCTTTGATGCAACTTTTTTGTCTCCTTATTTCATAAAATTGCTTGGCAAACTGTAAAAAATAACCTTAATGAATACTTTTAAAACTCTTATTTCTGTTTTTAAATTATTAATATTTCGGAACAAAATAATTTGAAAGAAATTAGGAAGTGAAAGATCCACTAAAGGTTAGTCGGTAAAATAATTTTACGAACGTACGACTCTTATGCGGTGCTAGAGATATATCAGTACGGCAAATCATGGAAGTAACAAAAAATTTAATGAAATAATGAAACACATCTTTCTTAAAACTTTATGAAACATTTAAAAATTCACATACAGTACTGTCAAAAAGTATTTATCGTAGAATTTATTGCTGATGATGAATGATTATAAACAGACTGCTATAGTAATTATGAATTTTGTATTTTTTGTATTTCTTTATTTGTAGGTGTAGTGGTTTTGAGTGGCTTCCTCAACCAGTTCCGCCTTCATCAACTGAATGGTGTAGAACAGTTCATCATGTCATATGGAGGGCTCAGGGGAGCTGTTGCATTTGCTCTGGCTTTAATTATTGACGAAAAGATCATTCCTAGCAAGAAAATGATGGTTACAACAATTATTGCAGTTGTCTATTTCACAGTATTTGTTCAAGTAAGTGTGCTTGATTGATAAACGTGACTAAATAGCTATATTTGCACAACTCTCTATCGTACGATTAAAGCGATAAGGGTTCAGTGATATTTAAGGGTACAAATAAGGAAAAGGAGGCTTATCAATCTAGAGCTACAAAACACACATCATAATCTGAAACGTGGTTTGACAGATCAAACATTTTTCTGTTTCTCTTCAAAGTTCAATAACGCATGTGTCAGAACTATTTCTTTTTCTTTTATTATTATATTTCCTTTTATACGTTTTTTTTGCCCGGGGGGATTATTTGCCTTTCTTTTCCGCTTTTAGTTTTATATTAATGAGGAGTATATTTCTTTAATTGGAAACTTTGTGAGTTTCTATATTTACTCGTAGCAGCTGAAAAGTCTTTAAAGATTTCATTCTGACTGGATTAACCTTTTATTTCACAGTCTCTATTCTGTAATTCAGTGTAACTTTGATACGTTTAAAAATAGATTTTAATATGTTAATTTAAAGAAGTCGAAAATGTAATTCACATATCTAGTTCAATATAAATTACGTATTACGTTACGTGAATGACATGTTGATTTATCACGTGTTTATAAACGCCCTTCTTGGTGATGAGGCATACCATTTATAATACTTTTATTTTTTTCGTTGAAAAGTGGTGTCATTTTAAATGTGGAGGCCTCGAGGAAGCCATTCGGGTTTTACATGGATTCCTATGCGTATACCTGAATGTTATTCTAGTGCATTTGTTTCTGCATTAGATCGAAGCCTTAGCTCTCTTAGCATGAGGTACACTGCGTAAAGAAAAAAAAAATGCAACAGCTCTATATCTCCCGTTCTACTGGGCCGATTGACAAAATTCAAATTGCATTCTTTCATGTCTCGAAAGCGCGACTTAGGCTATATATTAGATTTATATATAGCATTGTTCTAACATAGGTATTTTGACACAAAATCGGACTTTTTCTGAAATAATATACCACTTGTTTTCCATATTTCAATTCTACGACTCAAATTATGCCTAGATATTAAATTTTGTTAAATTTGGTGCGAAATTTAAAGAGAAATTCAAAACAGTTTATGTTGCGCACTTTTTGAGTTTCATTTGCATACAGAATAAGTTCACATGGCGAACTTCTTAATATATGGCAACCAATTTTCCTTTCCCTTCCATTATGCCGGAGCAGAAAAAATTCACATCGTTCTAACTTTCAAATAATTTTAACAAAGGGTCTAAACTACATTTGATATTTTATCGCTTTCAACAAATATCCCAAATTTCAAAACGCGTCAATATATATAAATTCACGTATAACTTCGGAAATTTTGAATAAAAACAGTAATTTTTTTCCATGTATGCTTAGAAACACGTATACTTTAAGATGAGGGTAAAATTTTTATAGATTATAATTCAAAATTTTTTGAAAAATGTATAAAAATTATTTTAAAATACAAATTTTAAAAATAAATCATAAAAAAATGGGTGTATTTTATTTGGAATAAACCTGAATTTCGAAATGTGAAAAGAAGAATCAATGAAGTTTCATAAAAAAAGAGAGATTAATAAACATGTACCAAACTCAATTAACATCGAGGAGCTAAACTTTTAAGAGCTAATTTTTTAAAAAACCAACTCGTGCGATTTTTACAAAACTTGGTAGTTTGGCGTAATTTGAGTCGCAGAATTGAAATATGAAAAAAAATTGGTATGTTATTTCAGAAAAGTCCGATTTTGTGTCAACATACCTACATGAGAACAATACTATATATAAATCTAATACAAATCCTAAGTAGTGCTTTCCAGACGTGAAAAACGCAAGTTGAATTTCGTCAATCGGCCCAGTAGAATGGGAGCTATAGAACTGTCCCTCCCCCCCCTTTTTTCGCAGTGTACAAATGTCTATACCCAGAAGTGCAAAATGAAAAAGTACAGAGCATACAGATAACTAGTCTTCACTTGACATATCTTAATTTTTTCATCTATGGAAGAATTCTAGCGATTCTTATTAATTCCAAAATTTTTCAGATGATTTTTGGACAACAGATCTTACGTTTGAGCAACGTTTTACTATCGGAAAACTTGCTATTATGATCTTCCGTATGACAGCTTCTTATATAGCAGAGAAATTTCCGTGACTGTTATAAATATTCATAGTTTCAGTTTTCTCCCAGTTATTCCGGCTAATTTCGTCCTGGTAAATTTTCTCTTTACTTAAACCTAATATCTTAAAATACGAGTTCTTTTATATTCAGGAATTTCAGAGCAGAAATTTAATTATTGACTATCTAATAATAATTAGCAAATCAATTTCAGCTGATTCAAATTAAAGATGTTTTTCTTGCTGATGTTTCAAATGTAAGGCAGAAAAGCTGCTTTATTCTGGTTTCAGATGAATAGTTTTGGCTTTTTTATGGCTTGAGAAAAGTGTGAAGTTGCGGGTGGGTTGGAGCAAGAAACCTTCAAGTCCCGTGTACAGGATAATCCGAAATCACGAGCCAGAAAGAATAGTCTTCTGCTTATTTAAAAACTCGAAACTGTAATTTTGACGACGTGACTTCTAGAAGTAAGAGCTTTAATTTTGTAGTCAAACAAACAATTAAAATCTTCATATAATAAGCTCGTAATTTATTGTCAAAACGTTTTCGTTAGCAGCTTCAACTTAAGTTGTTGTTGTTCTAAAGTGATATTAATGTGCTTGCCGCTCAGACGATATAGTGGTTAGGAAAAACCTACTGCGGTACTGAAGGCCTCTAGTTTTTATAAACAAATCGTGATATTTTTGCCTTACACTTAATTTTAAAATATGAGTTTGTGGAATTTGCCAGCAATGGAAGAAACTAGGATAACATTTCTGCAAGAATACAGAATTTTGCTGAAAATTTTCAAAAGGGAACAACGAGGAAATCGATTGTCGCTGTTGCCGAGGATTGCACGAAGCCGATTCTTCGCAATTTTCTAGCGTTTTTAAGAAAAAAACTGATCGCTGTGTACTTCGAAAGAATATTATCTTAAAAAGTATTGAAAGATTTGAAGAAAAAGGCAAGTGTTTTAATTTTTAATGTATTATATTCCGCATTTAATAATTCAAATTTGTATTTTAAGTTCTTAAAGCATGCTTTCTTTCCATATGTTAATAATATTTACCAACGTACGATAAATATCGATAGTTCACCATCTTGGACTCAAAAATTACCTTTTTATATGTACAAAATCGCCAAACTGAGCTAATGTGGTTGCGTTATTATCGAAGTACTTTTAGATAATGAGAAGCCAAATGTTAAATGCCTCTACATGCCTAAGCCATACCTACTGCTTTGGAGCTGAAGAACTTAAGCGCTTTTTCTCGAACTAGTTATCCCTCGATCTCTAACTAATCGAATAAGAGAACGCTTGAAACTTGCTACGGTATGATTTATAAGTAAATGAGTATGAGAGATTTAAAAAGTAGAGACTAAATCCAACTTTTTAAAGTTATGTATACATTTTAAGATTTGGCGGTAGGATTAAACGAAATTAAATGATAAATAAATCATGTTACATAAAGATTAAATGAAGGTAGATCAATTATTTTATTGCTCTTTTACAGCATTTTCAAATTTTGCGCAACATTGAGCAGTAAGGTTAACAAAACAAATCAGCTCACGAAATTCCATTCAGAAACTTCACTGTACACAATTATTCGAGTTAAAACACTCTTTAGCATTGTTAAACATTAATGTTCGTATAATAGATATGTTCAGCAATTTAAGCCAAATGTAAACTTGGGAACAGAAAACTGGTCTCTGCTTCGACTAAAACATAATAATAAATTGCGATACAATCAGTGCTAAAGAGCACTTACTTATTCCCGCAGATAGAGAAAAATTCCTCCATGTTTTCACGTTACGAGAGCAAAGGAAGAAAAAGGAGAAACCGTTTGACCTTAAGCAGCTGACTGCTTCCAATGCGCACACATTCGCCTTTTTTAATGTAAGGTCAATACGTCAATGTATGTAAGGTCAATGTAAGGTCATTTTTAATGTCATATACGATGAGTACGACAAAGTAACAATCTTACCATTTAAGGAATTTTCTTCCTCCTTAGCAAATTCCTTCGTCGTGTAACTGGAAGCACGTCAAGCTAGCAGTCGGAAAATCCGGAGTTTGATTTCCGGCCAGGACATGTTAATACTTCACGTTCCTTGCTCTGACGAGTACCTAATGATTCCACAAGTGGCACCCGAACTAAAATGTTCTTTACAGTCATTCCTGACCATCTGGATTCGGCGACTGTGTACCCTGCATTCGAGTCATTCTTTAAAGAGGAAATATATTAAGGAAGTACTATTCCTCACCACATGCTTTCGTAAGCATGTCCACCTAGCACTTCGAGTTCAAATCTCGCCGAGGCTGTACCTTATATTTTCGTGTTTCCTCTTTCAGTAAACGTAATTGTTCTACAGTGACACACGCACTAAAGTGCGGTGGACGAAAATTCTTCACCCCCAAAATCTGGCAACTGGGTCCCTTCCTCCCCAATCCTCCCTCTCCCTTTAAGTGAGAGAGGATGTAAGGATTTCCTTCCTTGCCACATGCCTTCGTGAGGTAACTGAAAAGCACGTCAGTCTAGTAGTCGGAAGCTCTGGAGCTCGAATCGCGGAAAGAGCATCGCTTTCTGTTTCGAATTAAACTCAACACATCCTACAATCATAACAAATGCCAGCATATGCACAACCTGCTCCAGGATATTACTTTATAATATAATAGCAATTTATCCACGGATGTTAAAAGCAACGAAAATTACGGCTTTAAATTAAGAGCAAAATCATGAATACAGATAAGTTTTTTTGTTAAATGTAAATTAAACTAAAAACAATCTAAAATTAAATTTGACTGGATAAAGGATCCGTTTTACTGAAAATAGCTCTTATCGGTTAAAATATTAGGTTGAAAAAAGATATACCACTAGGAAAAAATGCCTATCGATATTGCTAACTGCTGTTATGTAACTGTTGTAAAGCTAAAAGTA